TACCGGCACCAGCTTCACCTTTGCCTCTCTGTGCTAAGCCAAGGCCTTTCCAAGCCCACGGATCAGGCGGCTAATACGCTGCTCCCCCAGGCTGGGAAGGCAGCTGCGGGTTTCACTGGTAGCCCAGCGCCCCGAAGGGGGACGGTCCCAACCTCCCCGGGGCTGTGGTCTGGCTGGATTTGCAGCAGGGAGCCCTGGAGACAGACTCCCCTCACCGTGCTGGCCGCCGCCCGTCACCTGGAACTCCAGCATCTTGTTCATGGCGGCCATGTAGAAGATGACACGCAGCTGGGTCATGCCCATGGTGATCAGGCTCCAGAGGAAGATGGGGGAGCAGACGCTGCGACGGAAGGGGATGGAGCCTGCAGGAGGAGGGGAGCTATGGGGGAGATGTCAGCCCCAGAAACCCCCCAAATCGCCTCCGCCCCCCAGGAGAGAGACCTCATCACCCCAACAGCCTCAGCCAGAGTCCCCCCCCAGGTGGGGGGGGGTGGGCAGTCGAGACTCCATGTTCTATTCCCGGTCCCGGAGAGGGAGGAGTGAGGTGTAGTTGGGGGGCTGGCATCCAGGACCCCTGGGTTCTAACCCCAGGCCAGGAGGGGGAGGAGTGGAGTGTGGCTGCAGAGCTGGGAGTCAGGCCTGTTGGTTCTAGCCCAGCTCTAGGAGGGCAGTGGGATCTAGTGGTTGGAGCAGGAAGTGGTGGGGGTAGGGAGCAAGGACTCCTGGGTTCTCTCCAAACTCAGGCCCCGTCCCACAGCTGCGCAGGTGGCTGGCCGCATGCCCGACACCCCCCTCTGGTGCGTGCTGGGGATCTGCCCCCCTGTGGGTCCGGGATGGCAGGTGCAGGTGAAACCCAGCACGACTGGTAAGTGCAGGATCCTAGCTGGGGTATGTGCAGTTCCCGCTCTGGCCAGCAGGTGGAGCCAGACACCCAGGCAGCTGGGCTGCCACCTGATGCAAGAGGCCACCTGCCTTGCATGGAACCACAGCTGGCCCCGCCCTCACCACCTCTGCCTGCAAGAGCTCCGCCCCCTGGCAGAGCCCAGCCCCGCCCCCTGCTCCCCATGGAGGTGGGTGGGTATCAGACTCCCTGAGCCCTCAGACACCCCACACTCCCACGTGGCCCCCTCACATTGTCCTCCTGGGAAAGCCCTGCCCCCACCTTGGTACAGCCCTTCCCCCATGCACCCCGAACCGCCCCACAGAGACACACCCCAGCAGCCCCAAAACCTGCCCTGCCAGGGCACACCCAGCAGGGGGCGCTGCAGCAGGACTTCCCCTGCACCACAACCCTGCCTCTCTGCTCCCATGGGTGCCGGGGCTGGGTCCAGCTGGGTGCTGTGGGGCACTCACGCTCAGACGGCATCGTGGCCCCATGGCACAGGTCCTGCATGGACGGGCAAAGCTCCTTGCCCTCCTGCAGCCCGGCCCCCCCCTGCCCCAGGCCTTGGCCCCCC